TGGAAGGAACTACACCTGAAACAAAGCACAAACCATGCCCATAAAGTTATTATGAGTAATCCAAGTACAGAGGGGGCTTATAGCCCCTACAGACTAGTATTATAAATAATAGTCAGACTTGAGCAAGGAATACTCAGCTTGCACTACTCTCATTCACTGTGTGACTCCCTTAACCTAAGTGGTTATGAGCCTCACACATTTCTAAACCCTCATCCTTGTATATGCCAACAAACTTGCATCTTGGGTACAACAACCCACTCTCATGCCTCACCTCCCTATATCCATCTTGCACAGTATCCCTGAACATGGCCAACCCCAATCTGGACAGCAACCCTATCCTGCTAGCTACTCCCAACTTTGCTGGCACAGCCACTGTCAATGTGCCACACCAAGAAACTGTCATCATTCCCAAAGATAACTCCACACACACAATTATGATTAACACAGCAAACCAGCCAACATGACTGGTAACAACAAACTCTGCAAACTTTCCAAAGGGACCAACTAATTTCCAGGGGGACCAACTGGCTTCCCTTCAAAGACCATGCCAAGGATTATTTCAAACTCTTTGGGTGTACATATTGTCAACGGCAAGTGGCTGATCACAGAAACAATAACCCCAGAAGAACAGGAGTTTAAAAAAATGATAGGATAACAAGATTACTCATATCTTCAATATTTCTGCCCGCTTTTGTTTGGCCTTTTGTCTGTTTCCTTAATGAGATCCTTTTCAGATCAGATTTGCTCTCGATCCAGACATCTTCATCCTTTTTGGGGTATGCTGTTGATAAAATAATCTCTAAGGTACACTACTTCCCCTCAGGGTCAGAGTCCTGTGATAGAAATGGGAAGAATGTGAGTAGTAGAGTAAACAACACACAATTGTGGCAGTCCATGCTCACAAGTGCTGATGTGTCAGATGAACATGTGTACTGCTCAACTTATCACTCAGCAAATATGCCAAGTACATGAGCAATCCTCGCACTGGTAGATGTTTGTTAGCTTCAGGATTAGTTCATGTTGGCACACTTCTTCATCAGACATCCCCTAGCAGCATATATATGGTGAAATGTGAATATATACATTGACCTGGTCACTCACCTTTCACTTTTTGGCTGCTGGCTCCAGCTGCTTGGGCTCCTCTTCTTCCTCTCCCTGTGTGTCCTTGCCTGCTATAAGCTACAAGGAGTTAGTGCACTGGTGACTTAAATGACTAATGGGGTGTACCCCTGTCTCCTTGATCACCATGCTGACATCTGCCTTCTCATGCTTAGCCATGTTCACTATCAACTCAGCAAAGTTGGCCTTGGAGTTGAGTTAAATATCTTGGAACTGTGTACATGGGATGGTGTAGACCATAATCTAGAGGAGTTTTGAATAGCACACCCTCTCTGTTGAATTCAGCTTCTATGTTATTGTAAAAGAAGTGGCCAAGAGCAAAGCCAATGAAACTGAAAAAAATGTTCTCTTTGTGAATGTAGATAATGTTCTTGCTTGTTTTGGCCTTTGCATGGTGTGAATGAGATGGTGAACTGGACTCCTTGGCCATTATTGAATGCACTCAGTTCTTTGTCTTAAGGAGTTGCTAGTGAACTCAAGTATGCAATTTGGGGACATGTGGTTAGAAATATATTGTATTTGTCAAGTCCACTTGGGTTGTGGTGGAGCAGTATATTAGCAAACATGAATACATTACTATGATGAAGGAGTTAAGGGCTACTTGGTGTGTTTGACTTGCACATCACAGGCAGCACTGCATCGGATGTTGAAAGCTACTTGATGCAATATGCACTCAGACTTTTTTTATTTTAGGAAAGTCTCATTACTATTGCAAATCACTGAAAACCAGGGTATGTTGTTTACTTTTATTGTGTGCACTTATTTGACTCCTGTCTCATGTTTCTGCAGGTTATAACTAAGGGGTTTTCTGCTTACTTTAATAGTACAATTTGTTTTGAGGAACAGAATAGGCAGAATGTGAGCCTTGTCATTCAGAAGGTTAGTGCAGATGCAAAGTATTGCAAGCATTTGTATTGAATTGTAGCAGATTTTACACAATATACCATTCCTTCAAGGCTGGAATTCATAATGACATGTATTTGCTTTGCCACCTGAGCAAGTACTGTAGGGAGACACAGCCCAATGCTCCCAGCCTCATGGGTCCTTAGTACCAATGCAGCTCCATTTCTACATGTGCCACCTGGTGACTATTGTTCTCATGGTAGCACTGATGATGGCTATTACCCTGGCAACTATGGATATGTTGGCAATAGTAGCAACCTGTTGGAGCTATTCCTTAAAAAGAGGTGTATGTATAATCTCAGCGGGTATCTTGATGAGTTGTGCACATTTAGTATCATAGAATATAGACATTTACAGTTGCTTGGCATAATGGGTCATTATGGTACCATAGTTTTTTTTTGAATATGAAAGCTCCATGAATGGTCTTATTATGACTGAAATCCAACAATTTATCCTAGTTTATGCAATAGATAAAACCTTTATCTCATTTCCATAGGTATTTCTAGTTCATTTTCCATACTTAGTACATTGATTATAATATTATATCTGGTTTGGCCTGTTGACATTGTGCTCTTTTTACCAACTAGCTCATTCTCAATTAAAATACACACAACTACTTGCATATCCATACAAACATAAAGTCATCTGATTGCAGTTGGTACTGAAGCCAAAAGGAGGAGGATAAAGGAGGATTAAAGCAGGGGTTGTAAGAATGTTAGGCATAAAGCTTCAAGAAGGTCACACAAGGTAGACATGGTTGTTTTCAGGCAGTTGCACAGCCAATATAAGGTACTGCTAATTTGAAGGGATAATAGGGCTAATGTCAGGTTGAAAGCCACTCTACAAAGCAAAGAGATTTACATGGTCTTGTTCTGAATTTTTGCCTCAACATTATTAATACTGTTTGAAAACTCCATCTCCATACTGTGTTATGGCTGCAGATGCAACTAGACAAGAATAATCATGTGCTATGGTACATGGTTGTCAAGAAAAGGGTCCTCTGAGCATACAAGTCTGCAAACTGGCCTCAAGAGGATTGTAGCAGGCAGCAAGCAGAGTCTGAGTTGTGTAGAGCAAAGAACACTAGGTGTATTCCTTATAAGAGTAGAATAGGGATTGCAGGCAGACTCCTAGTATTATATATACTACTGGAGGATGCTGGTACATATTGGGAGAACAATGGCAAGCTATGGATTAAGAGATGAATATTGTAAAGGAGGTTGTTTGGTGATGGTTTGTATATAGTACAAATATGGAGAACAATGAGGGGCATCTGAGGGTGGAAAACAATGGTGGTTCATTGGAAAATCTCTGGTAAACAGTTCAAACAATGTATAGCAGATGTAAACAGGAAAATATAATGGAATGTTCCAAAAAGGAGAACAATGGAGAGTATTTAGAAATGAGAGACTATAACAAGATGTTCTAAGGAAGGGAACAATGGAGGTGGTATGGCTGTAATGTGGCTGTGTAGCAAGAATGGGTAGAGCCAAAACAGGGGTGAAGCAATGTATTACATGACAGGGTGGAAATAGGGGAATATCTATGAAAAAGAAATGGAAAAAATGGGGTAATACAGCAAACTGTAACACACTGATGGTCTTGTCAGTGAAAGTCTTGTGCAGCACTACAGAAATGGAGGGTGAGATGAAAGACAGGCTCTTTCTGAATATTGTAGTCTGGAAAAGTGCTGCTGTCCTCTAGATGCTTGTTTACAAAGAGTATGCATTGGTGATCAAGAGAGATAGATTAGATGTGATCCAGTGTAGCAAACATTGCAGACTTGCCCTCTTCCAATGTTGCCCTGAGTCATCACACTGCAAAAACATATGTACCTATTTCTCAAGTATGCACAAGGTACATAGCATCTGATTTTGTTTAATCATGTGCCTTTGACATGGTACCGGAGTCAGGTACACAACCAGGTATACAAAATTATGTACTGCTAACTGAAACCACAAAATTATTATCACTCACCAGCACTGATTATAGACACATAAATTTCCTAGCTAAAATCATTGTATTAACCTATGAATTTTAATGCCCATCAACACTAGTAGAGTTCCCCTCCAAAACTATTACTACACCCCATATGTTGCACTATCTGCAAGCCTTATGACACATGGCTTGCTAATTATTATCCAACAAAACTTCTCCTCATCCCGAACCCTGCCAACTAATCCAGCAATAGTTGTGAACATCACAACTTCTGGAGACTTGAACTGGTGATAGGCAGGCCAGTATACTGAAGACCCTTCTAATTTAACTAGAGAAATTAGTGCAAGGATCAGTTTTTACCCTTGGGGCCCATCCTCCTTCTGCTGAGATTGCTTGAAAGAAAAGTTGTCAGGTAAGTCAAAAACAAGGTAAAACTGAACTTGGTCATAAAATACAGCCTCTTGCATTTCCTCAGTCTGATTTGTGCAATGGGAAAAGTGGCCAACATGTAGCACATACTATGCCATAATAGATTAGGAAGTTAAATGAAATTAAGAAAGGAAAGCCCATTTTCACAAAGCTTGCATCATGACGTGATTCACACATCTTCTTGTAGGCCAAGACACTGAATTGTATCTCCACCATCAAAAAACTTGACTTTGCCATAGTGGCCATAGTGCACCAAAGACAATGGAACAAAAACATAAGGGCATTCACTTGTTGTCTGTCAGCATAGTTTGTTACCAAAAAAAAGCTGCAATTTGCTTTCTGATAGACTTGTGAGGCTCAAAAGAGCACTCTCATGGCGACACTAGTGCAATGCTGGGATCTGAAAGAACATTAGATAATTACTCATGGAACAAAGATCTGAACCTCACAGTCAGCAAAGCAATCACTGGACACTACAACTTCATGATCTGGACTAAGATTCAGCTCATCAGCTAGGCCATACATCAATTTAATCTGATTGAGTTGCACTATATCACAAAGATGGTGAGCTATGCTGGTGAAAAACTACTTGCAACTCTGGATGAATTAGACTATAACACCACGGAAGTGCTCTGTTGGAAAGTTCCAATAGCGCCAGAGGGTCCAGTTCTGTGTAGATTATCAGGAACATGAAGAAGGGAATGAATGGGCAGTGTGCAGGCTGAAGCATGAGTCATGTTGTGGCAGACATAAAGTCTGCAGATACTATAAGCAATTATATTATTGGGAAACAGTAGTTACTCACCTTTCATAATCTTTGATCCAATTAGCACATCTTTTTCTAAGCCCCTCAATATTGTCACGGTACAAGACATAGCTGAGGCATAAGTTGAAAATGTTGACAAATTTGAGGAAGTACTTGTAGTAGGGAGATGTAAGTTGGCCATGGAGCAAGGGCAGTGTGAGGAAAGTAAGAAAAGTGAACCAGTTCTCCATCTTGAATTGCCACTGCTCACTTGCAGCATCTGGTACACGTGACCCAAAGGCAGATGGAATAGTGTCACCAGAAGTTTTGCAGGCCTGTTTAATTTTGCCACATTCTTCCATAGAGACAAAGTAAGCCTCGCTTTCACCACCAAGGTCTTTGAACACCCCAGTCCAGTGAGCCACAACTGTAGTCATAATGTTGGATATGAAATACATAAAGTCAAAGGGAAAATTTTGGAAACAGAGACACTGGAAATAGTTGCCAGAAGAGGAACATCATTGATACCAGATTCCCAAGCAAGTTTACCAGATCTGGCAGGTGTAGGTGCAGAGATGACATCCTGAGCTTGTTGCATAAATTCAGAATGGGAGTGCAGAGGAAGATTACTGGAATCATATGAGTCTCTGTTACTGTGGAAGAGTGGAGTGTAGAGCGGAGATGAACAATTAGGAACTGCAATCCCATGAATATGACACATGCGGCAGGGTGAAAAGCCATTGACACCCTTCATCTACACAAATTTGGAAATTGCCTGCATGTTGCCAAAGATATAGAGAAGAAAAGCATGTAGGAGGAAGCAGAATAAAGGCTCTTGGTGAAAGGTGGGAACACCACACATCAAGGTCTTGAGTTTGGTGAAGAAGGGAAGCATGATTTAAAATCCCAAGGCTCTTTAGGACCTAGTGTGACACCAAGGCAAAGAATGTGCATAAGATGGAAGCAGAGTTCAGGGGAGAGATTAAGGTTAAAAACAAGCAATGGCCAGCAAATCTTCTTTCAGCTTTTGAATGGACCTACACCATCAGTTGACTAGCCTGGTCAAAGAAGCAATGACCAAGCTGCTATGCACCCACCTGCACATGCTGGCTCAGGAGGCCACAGTAGTGCTCTCCATTAAAAACATCAGCAACTCCAGAAGTGCAAGTGTTGTAACTGCACTGATAGTGCATCTTCTGAATTGGCTCAGGATTAAGAAAAAGGCTGAATAGCCAAAGAATGAGGAGGATATACTGGAAGCTATAGTGAGGCTGACCTTGATTGCTGTAATGACCCTCAGAGCATCAGGGACACTGTTCAAGTTGTTGGTACAGTTGACATGCTGAAAATGCATAGCCACATAATGCATAATCATCATTATGCATAGGATTTTGGCTGGTCCCAAGCTATTGCCAGCCAATTATGCAGTATACTGCATAATCAGTTATACATAGCCCTGCCAGCAAAATTATGCATTATGGGATTGATCATAGCCAATCATAGCCACACTGTAGCAGTACAACAGCATAATTCTTGTGATCCTGGCATTGCCAAGCACTGCTCAGCATTGCCCATTTGGGCTCAAAAATGTGTATTTAAGCTGCTTCTTAACCAAAGAAGCAGTCATCATCAATTCCTTGCATGACTAGCTACAAGCATGGGCCTGAGTTGCCTGAGAATCAGGCTCAACCTTCCAAATGTGTCAAGACAATGGACAATTCCTCCAATTCTTGCCCAAAGTGGAACAACCTGACAACTGAACAATGACTCTATGTCTTCAAATACCGGGATTCTTACAGATATTTAATGAGTCAAACAGCCATTGCTAATCATTTTTGGTCACTCAAAACAGGGGCACTCAAGTTTGATCAGGGAACATTTTCCTGTGCTCATGCAACTCCAACTGGCCTTTTAATGAAGAAGGACCAGGTTGTCAAAGCTCCCGCGGTGGAGCATGCACTGTATGAGTGGGTGCAACAGATAGAGACTAAAAATGAAACAGTTTCTGGCCCCATGCTCTGCAAGAAATGGAAAAGTCTACACCATCAACCTGTCTGATGCCATGATATTCACCAAGGAAGCTTTGAATGCAATCACTTCAGAAACAATTGCACATTGCTGAAGGCACACCCAAATCTGGCCATAAGTTTGCTTATTCATGTAGTTGAATGTACACTTACCTTCCAGGCTTTTGCACCTATCGTTCCCACACTAATTCAGTCCATCAACTGTCCACTCCCACGGCGTCTGGACAGTTAATATAGTTCCTTTACACTTTAAAACACCAACCAATGGTCTCAACCAGCAGCCTGGGTGAAATACTCCTTGACTTAGTCAAAAATGGCTTCCCCAGCCCCTTTCCCCTGCCATATGAAGTGAGTCATAGACCACATCAGCACTTTCCTGCATTGCAATACCGGCAAAGCCCGCTCCCTCGTTCTGGTCTGCTCCCATGCATTCTCCCACTCTCCCACTCTCCCAATCCGTGCCACCACTTCCCAATACCCTCCTGTTGCCATTCTCCACAACAATGATGGTGTCTCACCCATTATTCCACTTAATTAGATTGCATTTTCACAAACATTACTTAAAATAAGGCTTGCAATACAATACATTCTAGTTATAGGTGAGGTTTCCTACTTTCTATGCGTGCTTTACTTTCTAGGCTGAGGGTGGGCACACGCGGAGGATATTATTGCTCAATTAGGACAGATCACTGCCACCCCACATGGAGCCCCATGTGGAATTCCACACGGAACTCTGTGTGAATTCAGCGCAGACACTTTGGCACGGTGCTGCAGACACGTTACCGCTTAGTCCATCTTTATGTCCACTCCCAAACTCTTACGTCCGCCCTCACTCCTTCCTCCTCCCTCCCTCCTCCCTTACTCTACCCCTTTTCCTTCCTCTTGCTCAATGCCGCCACCGCCATCCCCAATGCTCTCAACGCCCACATTCCTTGTATTACACATACCTACTTTTTTTAATATTAATCTCTACATCTACAATAGAATATGTTCTAAGAAAAGCCACCACTGTGCCTGGTATTAAATTGAAATAAAGAACCTGAGGCCTTTCCTTCAGCCTGAAGAGGCTGCCAAGACTTGGTCAAGAACTTCCAGAATCTTGGATACAGCAGAACTGTTTCTATTAGCTTGCTTAGGTATTGGAGCCAAAATAACTTTCCCCCACTGGTGTTAATGTCAGGTATGGATGCTAAAACCTTCTAGAACCCTTTTTGATGAATTTCCTATTGGCTCACTTGGCTATCTGGCCTGAAATTAGGCACAGCAAGTACAACAACTCCAAAAACCTTTGTCGTTGTTGTTGAAGACAATGTTGAGGGTCATTCTATCATAGTGCTTCAGAATCCATGCCATTTGTACAGTACAGAGTGAGAGTTCAGTGATATACATGAACTTGTAGACTAACAATTAGGCATCTGCCTCTGGGGGGACCATCTCTGACTGCTTCTTTGCATGTGGCTTTCTCAGCTTCGTAGGCTTGTCGCTGGCATTGGCCTTCGAGCGCTTCGCTTTGGGGGCGTGCACAGACTTGGTGTCCTTGTGTTGCTTGCGGGCAGGTGCAGGCATGCTGCCAAAGGCTGAGATCTCAGAGGTGGCATTGTCGGGCTTGGCAACTGTATCTGGGGGCTGGGTCCCCAACCGAGAAGTTGCGTCTGCTGGCACATTGACGGCTTGGTTGGATGGTAAAAACAGTGCAGCAGGAGCCAGCGCTGGAGACAATGAACACATCAAAGCAGAGGATGCCCATAGATGCAGGAAAAGATGTTTGCTACAACATCAGGTATGAGTACCTTGGGTGGAGTCAGTACTGAGGACTGGGTGTCATCTGGTGTGGATGATGTGGGCTCGGGGAGGGAGGATGGGTCCACAGCAACCTCAGAGGTGCTGGAGGGGTTGGGATAAGAGGTAGAGGGCTTAGGTTCCGGGGACAAGGGCGGCTTGAAGTTGGGAGTAAGAGCCTCACCTCCCTCTACATGCGCGCATTGTTCCTCGACTTCCTCGGGGGTGATCTTCACAAACCAACACCTCTTGTCCGTGATGGTGTCAGCTAGCTTTTCCAAGGCAATGAGCCTGCCCTTCAAGTAGCTCGGGTTGACCCATAGCTCATTCTCCCAGCCAATGAGTTTGACATTGTACCGGCAGACAATGTTGGCTTCGTGGCGCATATATTCCATTGTAGCTTAATGGTTGTTGGTGGCATCAACTAGATAGAACTGTTAGTGACAGCAGAAGGTGTGAATAACAACACAACAACTTACCCAGTGCCTCATTTAAACCCATCCAAATTTCCATCTACACCATTACCTTCCTGTTGTCATGCTTGCATTTTTCATCTTGACAAAAATAAGTAAAAAGTGTTTTGTGTTTCGGATAGAGGGTTAAGGATTTACAATTGGACCAGATCTTGGCAATCATGTTGCCTTTCATCCTGCTGGCAAACTCGTTGAGGTTGGACCAAAAGTTCACCCGGAAGTACTGCTTCACTGCCCTGGTAGCTGTGTAGACCTTGGGTGCCATGGGGAATTTGAGAGAACTGCGTGTAAGTACCACGAGGGCATGGACCTTGTGGCAGGCAGTGAGGGCATCCAGCTACATAGGAAGTGAGCAAAGAGACAATAAGAAGAAAGATTGATACATACTTCGCAAGCAACAGACAAAAAGCTCAATGAGATCTCTGCCAACTGTGCCTGAGGAGTGAGGATGGGTGCCCTCTTGATGGCCTGGACCTTGGCCTTGTCAAAAAGGACAGAGCACTCATCTTTGGTGAGCTGGGTGTATGTGGTGTTCCCTCCTGCCAGGTCTGTTAAGTTTGCGCAGTTGTGGAAGGTCTTGCCTGTAACCTCAGCATGTTAGTTAGATAGCGGTGACCGAGAAGTGTCAAACTTACCATGGTTGTCTAATAGAGCGCAAAAGAAAAATAATGCCAACCACAGAATTGTTTTCTGGTTGCAGCGGCATTGCATCGTGGCTTCCTGGTAAAGCTGTCCTCGAAATTAGGCACACATCTTCTTGTACTTGATGGCAAGAGCAACAATCTGCTTGTCAATGTAGTCCACAAGGTTGTTGATGTCGTTGTCTTCAGCATTCTTCTTCAAGCACTGTTGAGCACGGCAAACTTGTTTGGCTTCAGAAGACAACACCGGACATGGGCCACGAGTACACCCCCATATGCGGTGTATGTGACTTCGGAACAATTTAGGCATGGCTGAGCTGGACGCACAGGACAGGGCTCAACACCAACCACGATAGATTACTTAAGTGCATGAAGCCTCAAGACCGATACATGTGGTGTAAAAACCATGGTACACATACAGTAGCGACAGTGAATAGCTAAAATTTATTCATCAGCTGAGGAGGAGTTCAGATTATCCAGATTATCCAGATCATTTAGATCAACAATGAGTCAAGTATCATAAAACATTGCCTTAACCACCCTACCCACTGAGTCAGACAGCATATTTGGAAAAACCTTTTGGAGAACTGACTGCCATTTAGATGGCATATAGTCCTTCAACAAGTCGGTGCAGACATTGTGCATGCTGTCCAGTAGCAATAGTTCATCCAGGGTTGCTTCTGCGTAAAGACCGAAGGGCAGTATGACAGAGTGTTGATTGGTGGTGAACTGGCAAGCCTGTGCACTGGAGTTTGGCTCACTAGACTTGGGGGGTGACAACAAAACCGAGGGAGCCAACAAAGATGGAGCTAGTATAAAATGTACACGTAGATTACTACCCTGAGACTGGGGATTGACATCACCAAAGCACGGCCCGGACTTCAGCTTGCCAACAAGTTTATCTGTGCAATCTTGGAAAACAGGGGACTCACAGGCCTCAGTGCCAGAACGAGATTTTGCATGTCCTCCTGCTGAAGGTGGAAGCTGAATGACGTGAATGAGGGAAATGAGGCTGCAGGTAGAACTGAGAAGATGAAGAGGGCCCGGTGAAGCTGCAAGCGTACCAGTAGGTGTCACTGGTGCCATCAATATCAAGAAGAAAGGTGACTGGAGGAGGTTTCTTGGTGCCGTAGGAGACAATGTTAGCTAGTTGTCCATGAGGATGACCTTGGAACATGAACTGGGTGCTGGGCCTACTAGTAGGTTTGGAGATGATGGGAAGGGAAGAGAAGTTGATAGTACTTGATTCATTGCTGAAGCCCCCATACGGCCAACACTGCTGCGTGCACAGGTTGCGAAAGTCTTCAGCGTTGACACAAGCAACCTTCTTGATGAATGTTTGTGCAATCTTGGCAATGGTAATATGGGTCTCGGGGTGCAGTGCGAGAAAGCAAGGGTTGAGGTAGGAGGATGCTTGCAAGTGCTTGGGCTCAATACCCTTCTTCTGATTGACTGTGCCAGGGTGATGCAAGAAGAGGGAGACACTGCCTGTGAGTCAGTCTGATGCAGTGATCTACAAAGTGTTACGGTCAAAGGAGAGTGAGAGTTAGAGAGGATGTACAAGATCATGAATGAGGTGTTGAATACTCTCCACATGGTCTGTCCTCACATCAAAATAGGCTCTCCGTTCCTCCTGAGTGGTTCTGGTGGGTCTTGACAATCCAAGACTGTAATGAACAAGAGTAAGCGGGTGGAATGCAGGGTTGTCTTTGAGGTGATGTCCGTCATTGTGTAGATCAAAACACATAAGGGCAAGGAGGGTAGTATCCCAGCATATGCTGATGATGTCAATCTGCATAAAGGGAGAGGGCTGGATAATTACATATTTCATGGCTTGAAGACCGTCAACAGTCGGGTCAAGGTGGAATGGTGTATTGTGCCAAGGTGTCACAGATGATGAGGGTTGGGATGGTGTGTAACACTGCAGACGTGGCTCAACTGCAGATGATCTTGACTTGTCAAACCCAGTTGCGGCTGCACAACATGAACGCACATGTGTCTACCTCATGTAGCTCACACATGTGCAGTCACTGTTCTAAGTAACACAGACATATCCACTTGCTAACAACTGCAGGACTTTACACACATATTTATGCAATCATGTACATATGCTACAAACTATTTATGTTGAAGGGAAATGTGTTGTTCGAGCAGGGCAAGATATATGCTCAAATAGTTCTAAGTCAATGGTACTAGTGTGTCCATCCAAACTCTTCGGATGAGAGCAGTTTCAATTGATTTGATATCGTGCACGCATTTTTGTCAAAGGCAGTTCATGATGTCCATTCAAATATAATATATGTGTAGCTAATTGTTCAAACACATGCTATTGAAAAATTCCCCAATGTCCACTTCAATCTCTTGCTGCGCCTCGCCTTCCTCGTCATTGACAGCCTCAGTCCTGAAGTTGTGGCTATCGACCTCTTCATCCTGGCAATCCAATGTACCTGAGGCTTTGCGACCAACTCAAGTTCCCACATGGCAGTGTACTTGAGCAAAGTGCAACAGGTAATCATATTCCTGACTTTCAAACTGTGATGATTTCTGACGTACTTCCCCAGAGCCCCATTATTCCACCACCCCCTTGCCTCCCTCAGAAGATAAACTGGACAAGCACACGGCAGACCACGCAGGGCTTTTTCCTACCTCCTCCAATGATATCAGCCACTCCTGTATGCATCCTTATTTCAAAAATATGAAATGGAGCTGCACCTTATAAGTTAAATCAGGTTCACCCAGTGAGGGCCAATCCGGTTTGAGCAGCAATAAGCTCCCCCGCCACGACATGGATGGTACCAAGACACTTGTCCCCAAGGAGTTGGTGGAGGCAACATCCCTCCAGGGTATTCAGGCAGCTCCGCAGAGCATCGCCAAGAGCCAAAACACAGGAAATGTTCCCTTCTATCAATTTGGCTAATTTGCCTGTATCTAAACATCAGGCTGAGATATATACTTGGTGGCCGCTTTTCCCATTCCTATCTTGTAGTATAAGTGCTGCACCTGATGTAAACCCTGTAATTGAGGCAGCAATAGCTGCTTCCTTTGCTTGCCAATAACTTTCCTTCTGAATAACTTCATAATCCAATACCCACATCAATGTGCTGGGTAGAATAATAGGAGCAGACTAGCCCCAGATACTTTGCCAGGCTTTGTGCCCCAGCTTCCGGCATGTAGCGTTGGACGTAACCATCAAGTTGAGCCACCACAGCTGCCCTTGACAATTTCAGGACAAACCCGGGTTGTTCTGGGCTCCGAACAAGGCCAAATAGGACCAACAAAATTACAAACCTCGCATTGTTCCAACTTCTTGGTGTGGGGAAACCTCGACTTGAAGCATCACATTTTTCTTGCCCCTCTCACACGTCTCCGCAAAGGTGCCAACCACGTCCCATGACCACAGGCGACTACATACTACATTGAAAATGCGGAGATGCTGGACATGTAGGTATCATGCATCTGGCCTACCTGACGATGGTACATCGAATGTGATTGTGATGTTCATGTAACCACAATAACCCCAAAGTCAAAGGAAACCATGAAAAAATCAAGTGATGGCATTCATCCCCAGAAACCTTTTGAAGCCTAGGACGCCCACGTCGCATCTGCGCAGTCGAGCAACTGCTCCCCCACTCAGAACTCAATGCACGCTTGGAGGGGTGCCCAGCCACATTTGCTATTGAAAACAGTTGGCTCATTTCTTATCATTGGAGCCCAGATAAACAGTTTTACCGCCAAGAAATGCATCATGTCCTTGTTGTCCTGTCAGAGAAAGTCAAGAGTCAGCGCAATTGCAACCTGCAGCACCAGTTACCCAGCCAGGGAAGGTGAGAGCTCCTTGAGATGCCTGATACATAAGTTTTTTTGGATGGTAAAGGAGGGAAGCATACCCCAGGCACAGGATATGCAGGCCAGGCCTTCGAGGATGTCCGGTCAGTGGATGGGTCAAAACCCCGAGGATGTCAGGGCAGCGGTGACCAGCGGTTGACCGACCATGTCCTGGCGGCCGCCTCACTGTAGGGGTTGGGTGACTGGTAGGGGATGCTCCGGCCCATACCCCAGGTGTGTGTCAGGGCGGCCGCCTGCCTTGTGCATTTAGAATGTCAATCATAGTCCAGTGTTTTTAGCTATAATGCTCCGGTTATTGCAGCTACAGTGCTCCGGTTATTGGAGGTATAATGATCCGAGTATTGCAGGTACAAATACAATGCTCTGGCCATTGCAGGCATAATGCTCTGGTTATTTTAGCCACAATGCTCCAGGTATAATGCTCTGGCCATTGTGGCTACAACACTCCGGTTATTGAAGCCATCCTGCTCCGGTTATTGTAGCTACAATGCTCCGGTTATTTTAGCTACAATACTC